GTAATCAGATCTTGGGAGTGAAAGGGTTATTAAGTACCTGAGAGGTGCCTTAGAAATTATGAATCAAATGGGTGTGGCAGTGATGGCAGAAGAAGCTGTTTTAACCATTTAATCCCTGAGAGTGACTATAATAATAATAATAATACTAGTAATAATAATAATGATAATGATAACAGTAATAATAATAATAATAATAATAACTATAATAATAATAATCAGATTAATTACTCTTTTTGTGGCTTACAGCTAAATTACAAGAGTTGTCAGGATACAAATCATATCTATACAATAACATGAAACATTTAAGGTTCTAAGAAAATCTATCTGTAATAAATTTATCGAGACGGTTAGTAAAAGCCATAGCAGGATCATCTCTAAGAGTGTCTGAGCGTAGATTGTATCCGTGAGACACAGTTGTGCAATGTGGCAGCAAGTTAGCAAGGACACCAGTGTCCCAAACTCTGACTAGCCTCTAATAACCTTTTATGTTATCTTAATTGTTAAACAAATTCTCCTTGTCAGCATGGTATGAAATGTATGGAACACAGTAGGAAGAATATGTGCACTGATAAATTGAGGGACTCTTATAAGGGGGGGGAATTGGTAGAAACCTGAAATAAAAATTTGGTGTTATTTCCAACTTTATACATGGATGATTGAATGTAAACAGTGTTCATGCATGGTAGCCTATTTTTTTGTCTGGTTTACAGGTTTGATTTCAGTCAGGAATACATTCCTCATGGTTATAAAGAGCTTTGTCTTGCCCCGACCAAGAATGGAGAGGTATAAGATGTCTTCTCATCATTTCCTCGAAGTAAATTTTAAAAAAAAGTGATAGATGAACTCAGTATAGGCAGGGCAACAAGCTGTTACTGTTCTGGTTTACTGATCTTTGTCATCCACATTCTCACACAATTAAAGTGTTGAAATGGTTAATTAAAATTAAAGTAACCTCAATTAAGTATTTTTTTTATCATGCAGTTTGCCATGGCAGTGAATTATTTACACATCTGGCCAAGACAGACATTCATGATGATAGCTTTACCAAATCAGGTAGTAATTAAAAATAATTTGATGAAGGGAATGTACTCAATACTTAGATAATCCATGAAGGTTCACCAATACCCAATAATAGTCTTTAATAGAGTTAGGCCTTCATCTTGCAAAGCAAGAGTAAAGTTTCTTGTCTAAGAGTATAACTAATGACAGGCCTAAGGCCCATTTCTTGAAAGTCCCGGTAACTTAACCGGCCTGTAAAGCTGTTTTGTTTTCATTCAAGATGGGGATTTCATGATAAGTTTTGAAAATGATACAATAAAACTATCAACCAAAGAAACAAAAGGGACTGGTCTGGGTGCCAGAACCTGCTTTCTTTCCTTTAAATTTTGATTTTAAAACGTGGCTTCGGTCCTTTTAAGTTCTCAGGACTTTCGAGAAATGGGTTCCAGGACTTGGTCCCAAATCCCTTTCAATCTGGTGTCTTGTGCATTAGAATCTCCCCCACAATGTCATGAAACAAAAAGATTAGTGATTACAGATCTCGGTAAAAATGCCCTATCGATTGTGAAATAATCAGGGGTAGCATTGAAAATTAAACTCTGAGTGTCAAGAGTTTTTCATGAATTTTTTTTTCAAGTTAGTTATCAATAGTTTATGATACAAATAATATAATATTTATTAAAGAGTTGTTACTAACTTTTCCTTAAGGACAAGTCATTCACCTGCACATTGTTCCTACCATTTGACCAATTTGACAAGTTGAAAACAAAGGTAGTATTTTCTTATTGGAAAAAGTTAATTTTAATCTAGATGAATGACTCTTTACTGTTTGTTAAAAAGACTTTGATTACAAAAACTGTGCAGAAGGTGTTTAAGAACATGTAATAACAAAGACAATTATGTAACAGCTTTTGTTGTTGTTGTTGCATAGTGTGTGCAACCTGCTGAGACTCTTTGTCAAATAACCTTGTCCACAATTAAAATTCATTGTTTAGAGTGATTAGAGGTTAAGTAGCAGAACATTTAAGGGAACCATTCTGAAGGATCTCCAGATTAGTTTTAATACTTTTTGGTGTTTTGTCTGACCACTGTATTTTGAGATTTTTCTGTATTGCATCAAAATGCATCAACAGAACATTGTAATGTACCATACTCAATTATCTTTTGCTTTGTGTAGCTCAGCAGATGTCTAATTAATTAATTTATTTATTGATCTATTCATACTTTAATATTAGGAGGATGTCCTGACTTTTTTTAAAGCAGAGTTCCCAGATTTCCTTAACCTCATGGGAGAGTAAGTTTTTGAGTATCACCGTCTAATTAATTTGATAAGTAATTATTGGCAGTGGGAAACATACAGCTGCAGTGACCTAATGGTCAGTGCACAAGACTGTGGGTTGAGATATCAGGGCTCGAAACTGGTCAGGTCAGTGTGTTGTGCTCTTGGGTAAGACTCTTTATTCTCAGATTGCCTCTCTCCCCCCTGGAGTATAAATGGTTTGCAGCAAATTGTCAGGGAAGCCTGATGAAATGCAGGGGGGGTAACCTTGCAATGGACTAACATCCATCTAGGGGGGAGTGGTAATACTCATTGTCACTTCATGCTACTTGGAATCTGGGATAAGTTACAGCTGGGTGGGGCAATAGGCTTGAGTACATACTAAAGTTGTTTACTTAATTATTGACAATAGAAGCTAAATATTCTATTGACAATAGAAGCTAAATAAGTGTATTTCCAAGTTAAAGTATATGTAAGTATCTCACACTTGTAACGTTATTGTCATGCAAATGTTTTGTCATGTGACTAAGGATAGCCTATCAGATTTGTGAAAAACTGTGATTTTAAGAGAAAGACTTTGGTTGTAAGATGGCTGAAGGCATTTTGACATAGTGTTATTAAACCCTTTTAGTTTCCACCTATGGGTTAGTTTATTAAAACAGGAATCGAATTATATTTTGGTAAAAAAAAGTTTTGGGTTGGCAAATGCAGTCTTTAGAAACCAGTGGCCTTCTCTGGGTTACTTGGCGAAATATGAACATACCTTTCAAATCTGTGTGCATCTGTTCCTTTTATTATGCCAGAGAGAAACTGTTGGAAGAATTTTTCAGAAACCCTACTGGCCCTATGGTGTCCATTAAGGTAAAGTTAAATGTTCCTTTTTCATTTAGGAGCATTATGCCATAAATTAAAGAAGCCCTCTTAGATTCATCAGTTTGTGTCAAATTAAAAAAATTACAATTTTCACAAACAAATGTAGTGCACAATCATTATAGGTCGAGTAAATTGATTCTTTTCAAGTTGAATAACCTTATTATTTCTTATTATTAGCTTTGAAAGAAACTGTTTGGGGCTGCGTCAGTGGGAGTAACGAAATAATTTGGATATATCAACAAAGTTGAAGTGGTAAATTGACCACCGTAACGATTCCAAAAGCTGACATTTCGAGCGTTAGCTCCAACGAAGGGCTAACGCTCGAAACGTCAGCTTTTGGAATCGTCACGGTGGCCAATTTACCACTTCAACTTTGTTGATATCTCCTTATTATTTCTAGTTGCTTATTTTTTTTTTATTATTTATTTTTATAATTTTTTCTTTTTATCAGTGTAAGCCCTACCATGTTTCTGACAAACTTGTAATTATTGGAGATGCTGCTCATGCAATGGTTCCATTTTATGGTCAAGGAACAAACTGTGTAAGTACAAAGCATTAAAAATTAAGTGTAGGGCCTCAGAATTGTAATTTAGGGTTTCTGTTATCTTTTTTTTTTCCCTCTGGAGGACTTTTGTGATGAATATAACAATTCACAATTATTTTGTTCTCTTTGTTTTAGGCATTTGAGGACTGTCTGGTACTTAATGGAATACTAGAAAAACATAATAATGATTTTGGTTAGTGTAGAAGTCTAGCATTAACCTTGTAGTACCAGCTGATACACAATTCTATTACATGTCTACCAACATCACTATTAGCAAGGCTCTGCTCTAAGGAGAATTGAATGGAACCCAGTGCTCTGAAACTGTGAAATCCAGTGTGCCCAACATATGCTTTGTATGAAAAAACTAAAATTCCTGAGTCGCCCAAGAACAAAAGTAAGTCACCAGGGGCCACTGGGCACTGCTTTACAACAGCCTTGTATTAGTAATTGTTCCTGTTACTATATTAAGTAAAATCATTACTGTCATCATTATTATTAACTTGTTGTAATAGTTGTTTAATACTTGGTTTACAATTATCATGATCATAACTGTTAAAATTATAATTCTAGATAATATAACAAGTATTTTAATTAAACTATAAAATTTCACCTTACACAGGCAGTGCACTACAGGAGTACTCGAGAACACGAAATAAGGATGTTGAATCTATGTGTGATTTAGCAATGTACAACTACATTGAGGTATTCTGTTAATCCTACTTGGCTGTGAGCCAGTCTGTCTCTTTTTGTTCTTTCTACAATTGTGGGTCATCTTTGATCTGCAGTGGAACCTTGATTTTATGAACATCTATATGATGAAGTCCTTGGTATAAAGAATGATACTTCAGTTTCACCCCAGCTTAAGTTCCAGTAAAATGTATGCCACATACATACATACATACATACATGGGTTAATTGACCACTCCCCATTGGGGCCTTTCAGGGCCAATGCTGAGCAACACCCACCCATCCCACCCAGGGGAGGACATCCACCACACAGTAATCTCGTGCGTGGGAAATTAATGTCTCCTACCCCTAACCCTGCAGGAGATGGGGCCTGCGGTTTATTCATCCCTATCCAAGAAGACTAGAATATCTATCCATTTCTCGATAGAAAGGTAGCAAATTCTCCTCACTTATTTTAAGACCAAGAGTATTGGTCCGGCCGGGGCTCGGACCCTTGACCTCTCGCACAACACAATCCGGCGCTCTAACCAATTGAGCTAACTGGGAGGCGGTTAGAGGCCACAGAACCTCAATGTAATGAACCCTCGATATAAATTTCCCCAGTACCTTGGCACTTCATTAAATCGAGGTTCCATGATGTACAGCAACACAACACTTGTTAGATATCTAAAATAAGCATATTAAAAATACAGTTACTTTTTGAGGCCTCACACAACGTTTCTTGCAGATGAGATCCTTAGTGACGTCCCCAGTTTTCCTCATGAAGAAGAAACTGTTCAACTTTCTCCACTGGCTGATGCCAAAAACATTTATTCCTCTTTATACCATGGTTAGTACCACAAGGAATCATTTTCCAGCCTGCAAAGCTCACATTATTTTGGCAAGCTAGTTTGGAAAGCTCAGGATTTGTGAGGCGTGAGTAGTCCAGTGGTCAGTGTGCTGGACTCTGGGTCAGATGGCCCGGGTTCAAGTCCTGGCTGGGGCTTGACATTGTGTCCTTAAGCAAGACACTCCACTCACATTGCTTCGTCTTCTCGGATAGGACGTAAAGCCGGTGGTCCCGTCTCCTGCACCTATCAATTAGTTAATTTCGGCAGGGGACGTTAAAGAACCCACATCACTAGATTACTGTGATGTGGTCTGGCCTGTTTACTGGGAATGGGGGGAGGGGGTATCTTTAAAATTTCTCCTTTATTAATTGTAAACTGCCGCCGGCAGTCTGGAAAAGTTCCCCGCACAGTGTTGTAAAGCGCATTAGAGCATTTACATGGAAATGCGCTATAGAAATCGATCTATATCATTAAATCGATTTATATTATAGTATTTTCTTGGTGATAATCTCAGCTGCCATCTTTGAATTTTTCAACAAGGGAAGGTTGGGGAGAGAAGGAGGGTAATGAATTTCATAATTTGTATCAACAATTTGTATGGGTAATCACATGATTTCAAGTGCAATTTGGAATACATAAGCACGAGTAAATTTTTTCAAAGACTAACAAAATTGCATGAGCCCATAGGGCGAGTGCAATTTGTGGTCTTTGAAAAAATTTACAAGGGCTTATTTATTCCAAATTGCACAAGAAAATCATGCGATTATGTATTAATAATATACATGGAAAAATACGAGGTAGCTTCTCATAACTGTGCAGAAGAAAAGCGTGCACATCACATGCAAAAAATAATTTATTCAAACCCTGCAATTGACATTGACCTTGACAACTGACCTTGACCAATCATTCTGAACAATCAGAATGTCTGGTTTGTTTCTTTCTTTGCACTGAACTAACTCTCTTCTGCACTGAATTAACTGAAAACTGCGTTCATCTTAACCAAGCAGAACTGAGAAATTTTTTCATGTATCTTATTAGATAAAAAAAAAAAAGATGGGGGAGAGGGTTGGTCTTTCCTAGCCCCCTTCCTGCACTGTCGGCTCTAACTCAATATCAAACAAGGCTGGTCAGATTAACCATTGGGAGCTTGTAATGCTAACTTTCTTTAGTAAGATACTTGCATTGTAGGCTAGTCATTTTCAAAACCATGCAGTTTGTCTCTGAAGTGTTTTTCTCCTACTCAAATCCTTTGCTTCTACAGGTGTCGTTTTCTCAGATTCCCTACAAGACAGTCATTGACAGATCGGAGTGGCAGGAAAAGGTCAGTCCTCAGATCCTAACATTTTCCCTTTTCACTCTGAAGAGTGGACTCCAAATACCTCCTGCTGATTTCTTTAATCTTTGTTCTATTAGTATGGGGAAGTTATCCTTTGATGTTAGTCTTTACTTACATTTGAGAGGTTGCATTTCTGTCACTTCAGAAACAATGGTTTTATGTTAAAAATAAATCACTATATGTCCGTTTATGGGCAGTCATTGGATCCTCTACCCAAGGCATGCTCTACCGCCTTATGTGATAACTTGTAAGTATGCAACTACCAAATGAATAAAGGGTGAAAGTTTCTAAAGAAACTGTGGTGCTGCATCAGTGAGGGTAACAAGGTAATTTGGTTATATCAACTAAGGTGAAATTGTAAATTGACCACCATAAAGAGTTAAAAAGCTGATGTTTCGAGCATTAGCCTTTTGTCAGAGCGAATAGAGAATAGGATGGACTGATAACCTTTCTGTCTAATTCAAAGATAAAGTGTTCAAAAACCAGTCAGAAAAATAATTCTCAAATTTGAATTATAATTGTTTCAGGTTGTGAAGAGAACTGCACTCATGTCTATGTTGATGGTAGGAGTTGGTGGAGCTCTGATGGCATTGAGAATAGTGAAGAAAGATGGCAAATTGTTTTGAAAAGTGATCTTTTAACTGTTTGATGTAATATTTAATACTTAAATAGTAGTGTGGGAGACTTGCCTCGTAGATGGACATACACCAGGGCTTGACACTAACTTTTCAACTTACTAGCCAAGTGGTTGGTGACAACTTAGATGTAACAACAATTTCAGTTTGTTTACTAGCCAAAGTGGCTAGGGGAAATTGAAAATCACTAGCCAAAACTGACTTTCTACTAGTCTGTGGCTAGTTGGCTACCGTTAGTGTCAAAGAAGTAATACACTGCTGAGTTCAAGCATTGAAAATCGATCAAACACCACCAATACAAAAAGTACAGTCACACTTTAGACAACAAGCAGCACCTCCTTTTTGGCAAAGTCTGTCATGCAAGTAAAAAAAAAAAAAAAAAAACAGGGAAAAAAAAATTGCTGTCAGCCCTAAAATAAATTCTTGCTTTACAAAAGTGATGGATTGAAAATAGTTTCGTGTTATTTAAGCATCTTTGACCGCTTGTAAAAATTCTTCTTTCATTTCTTTAAGTAGTGCAGGGTCATTTAGCACCTCAATTGCAGTAAAACAAAGAGATTTGGCTGCAATGATAGTTTGATCATGAGCATACTGTGTGCCCGCAGCAACTCGGAACACATGTGAGTGAAAAGGCACTGAGCTGTCAATACAGAACTCTGCATGAAGACCAGGAACTACCATGGAAACATTGCCAAAGTCTGTTGATCCATCCACAATACTTTCCTGTTCTTCTCTTGAAGGAAAGACAACTCCCATTTGTCCAGCATACTTTTGATACAAATAGGCCAGCTTGCTGTTTGTAAGCACTCCAGCATGGGGAATGGGGTCCCATGCTATATCTACCGTGCAATCAGTTGCTTTGGCAGCTGCTTCAAAGCAGGCATTCACCTTGGATTTAAGGATTGCACACTCTTTGTTCTTGATAGTTCGCACCCAGAATTCAAGCTTAGCCCGCTCAGGGATGATATTAGGCTTAACTCCCCCCTCACTTATGATGCCATGAACCCGCCAAGTTGGTTTCATATGTTGTCTGAGCATGCTTATAGAGTTGTAGGCCATGACTGCAGCATCAAGAGCATTGCGTCCTTCCCATGGGAAGGCTGCGGCGTGCGCTGCCTTGCCTTTGTACACAACTTCAGCTTTTTCAAGTGCTTGACTCACATAGAATGCCAAATCAAAAGGTGCAGGATGTACCATGATAGAAAAATCTACATCTTTGAAACAACCGCTACTAACCATTTGCACTTTTCCACCACCTCCTTCCTCAGCAGGGGTTCCCAAGGCAATAAGCTTAGCTTTGAGTCCACCCTGAATAGCTGCCTTTATCCCCAATGCTGCCCCCACCCCTGAGGTTAATAAAGAAGCAGTTAGTGAGGAACTCTTAAGGGTGGCTTGAAACAGTTTTTGAGATGGCTACCGAATATATTCAAAGTGCTCAAATGGTAACTTTTCTCTTCACAGTCAAACCAATTTCACACAAATGTTAACCAAAGGATTGTGGTTTGAAATAGAGGATGGACAGTTTTTAATCAGTCTTAGGTCACCTTTTGGTCTACTTGTGTTGGTAACCTGTTTGCTGACAGTTAACCAACAGTTGACTGACAGCTGAAAATGGGAACTATTGTTCACTGTTACCTGCTATGACAATAGGTGGTTTCCACATTATGTCATTGCCGCCATGTATGTAGACATAAACAATAGATATCTCATTAGCTCCTTTTGTTCATCCACCGGTATTTGTTCCTTTCACCATTGTTACCTGTGTCTCTAGAGATTAGTTGCAAACCACCTATTGCTATTACGGTGAGTCCCGTAAGGGGCTGACCATTTAACTTTTGAGGGGGGGTGGGTGATTTTGAAAAAATTTCCCGCAAGCCCTTGTTGGAAGAAAAAAATTGCATGCAGCCCAAATATAACAGAAAAAATGTACCAAAAAATCGGAAAAAAATATCCTGCGCAGCAGATTGCGAGAAAAAAAAATTTTTGATGACCAGAAATCACCCCCCGCCCCCCTCAAAAGTTAAATGGTCGGCCCCTAAAACAGTTTTTGGTGACCGTCTCGTGAGATTCCTCAAATTTTCCAAGACTTCAGGATTTTCTTTTTCGAGATAAGGCCTAGCAGCTGAGTGAATTTAAGCCAATTAAATCTAACCATTTAATCAAAGCCTCCCGACACATGTAAATGATGTGGACGGGTATTCTGAAGTTGCTCCAAAAATTGTGGTTACAGCTGATTTGACTGCCGTAACACGATACTGTTTACGGAAAACTTTTTCGAGCCACCTCAGAACAAAGTCAAAGATGTCCTGGTCATGTGTTGAGTATATTCTACACGATTCTGTACCAATCAGTTTTAAAACAACAAGAACAATCTTAATTTCATTCTTACTCTTTTATTTCCCAAGTGGACAATATGTAAAAGGGTATCTATTGGGTAATTTCGGCAAAACTATGAGTTCATAATTACCAGCTATAGCTATGAGATTATGCCCACATCCATGTCCGATTCCAGGTAATGCATCGTATTCAGAAAGCACAGCAACCGTCGGACCTTCATTTTCTTCTCCAAACACCGCTCGATAAGCTGTTGGCAGAGTCTAACTTCTAGTTACTTCGAACCCTTGTTCCTCGAAAAAATCGCAAAGAATGCCATGGGAAAAATGTTCCTCGTAACCCAGCTCCGGTTTTTCCCAAATCTTCAAGCTCAAAGCTTGAAGATCTTTGGCTTTACCGTCGATTACGGGTGAAGCAAGGGATATAAAATTTGCCAACTCGTCGGCCATATTGAAGACAAATCGCGTGACCAGTCGGGGTGAGGTAGGGCTACTCTGCGCACTTAACTGACGTCACTTGTTCCCAGGGGCAAGAGTCAATTTACGAACGCCAGCACTTTTAACCCGGCGTCCATATTGCCTTGGCTGTTGTCGTTAAAACATAAAATCAATTTGATATTCAAGACCACAACCAGAGGAAGAAACACTGCTTTAAGTTGTTTCGTCGACTGAAAAACGTCATTGCTCTTACGAGATGCATTTGAAAGGATTCCGTACGATGTTTCTTCGAGGCATTGTATTGGCTTTCCTCTTCGCAGTGTGTTTTTCCCAAGATGATGACTACAGATGTCCTTACAACATTCACGTGAATAAAGGACAGATTATCGAGGCGAAAGCATCTCTGAACAATGGTGCATCGTTTTTGAAACATTATGAAGTTCGCGATGCCCGAGAGTGTTACAAGTTATGTTGCGAACGAAGGAACTGCGATCTCGCGCAAATGCAGTACAAGAACTACACGGACGGATTCTTCTCAGAATTAAAGAAGATTTGCTACATGTTTCACTGCGGAAAGCCCAGTAAATGTCTCTTTGGACAACACGATCACTACGCCACGATATCTTACGACAGACCTAATGAAGAACTATCATACTTAGACGGTAATCAGTTTGGACCATCTGTTAAAACAGGGAAAGCAAAATTTGGCATCGCGAAAGAAATCAAACCTGTTCATGAAGGTAGGAGTTGTGGTTTTTATGTCGTATTTTATGTAAATCGCTTAATTGTTTTCTCGCATCAGTTACTTGAAATTGCGATAACAAAATCAGTACTATCATCTCAATCATTCGCACATTTTCTTCGCAAATGAAAATAATTTTCACAGTCGTGTACAAGGAACCAGGTATTTTATTTCGTAAGAAAACTTCCTCGTTCCTTTCGATAATTTTGTTATCAAATTTACTCTTGAAATTTCCCTTTTCTACGTTTACTCGAGGTGAGTGTAGGGTCAACATAAACAGTAAGCTTTGAAATGTTTAAAAAGTATATGCATGCATATAGGCAATATTTTGTAATGGTTTTCATATTTCTGAACACTTAAAGGTCTCCTTGGTGAGAGTGTTACAATATGGCGCGTACTAGTAACCGAGAATCTTTGTTTATCTTTGTTTATTAGTTTATTTGTTAAACTGCCCATTCTGTGTATTAATTATAAGACTGTTTTTCTTAGAATTATTTTCTTTGTAGAAGTTAAGCTTCAATTTTTGCTCAAAATTCCTTCTTTAATCTTAGCAATCTCACGGCGTCTCTGCAAAGTCCGTAAACGGGCAGTAAATGTTACCTTGCTACACATGCTGGCTGGACACCATGCTGCATGCTTAGCGAATAGAAAAGCTTCAAAATTTACCATTTATTTCAAAATTTTCTGAAAAAAGGAGGAATCGCCTTCAAGTGTTACGGTTGAGAGAAAGAATGAAGCGTTGGTATCACTCTAATTATGATCACTATTGCTTACAATGCAATTATTTTCAAACTTGGAAGCATTTGTTGAGTAGCACTCAAATGTGTGCTTCTCTAAACACCTTTAGCTTTTGAAATTTTTATTGAAATTAGGATCTTTCAGACCACAATTTGATGAGAGATCTTATGCTCCAAAAGTGCATTTTACTTTGGAGAATATGTTAACTGGTGTAAGAGATCAAAAGATTAATATATGGGAATATGTAAATTGGTATAAGGTATTAAAGAGTTCATTTGTTCTTGTTTTCTTAAAAGGCAAAGTTTCAGGATCATCACGACACAAACCACCGACAAGACCACACGTCACTAAGGAACAAGAAAAGTATGAGGAGGAAGAAGATTTAATGAGTCCTTGGAAACAGAAATCTTATGAAGAGGGCAGTGTGCACTCTAAACAACCCTTTGGAAAAGATACGTATCACAGCAAGAACACACAGGAATCATCATCATTATCAAAAAAATTGTCAAGGCCAGGTATAGATAAAGATGAATACTCAGAAAATTATCAAGAACGTAAAAAGCCTCACTACCAAGTTACCTCAAATCATCCAGATTCTCCAACAAAACACAAGCATGTCAACCTGAAGGGACCTGCAAGACCTGGAAAAGAAGGTGGAAAAGAAGTGGTAGAGGAACCAACTGAAGAGAAGGTAACTACACAAGATTCTGGTGACATGGATGCAGAACTGGAGAGGAAACTAGAGGAGCTTATGCCAAATACAGACAATCAACAATATCAGCCTTCTGGTAGTGACGTGAAGGCTGTACCTACCACTACAAAACCCACCACTTTTCACCAGTGGAGGCAATTTGTTGACAATAACCCAAATTTTCCATATACAATTCCATCAGAAGAAGCAGAGGAGAAGCCAACTGAAAAACCTGTTGAGAAACCAGTAGAGGTACCTGTGCAGAAACCAGTAGAGGTACCTGTGCAGAAACCAGTGGAGGTACCTGTGCAGAAGAAACCAGTGGAGGTACCTGTACAGAAAAAACCAGTGGAGGTACCTGTTCAGAAGAAACCAGTGGAGGTGCCTGTGCAAAAACCAGTGGAGAGACCAACACAGAAACCTTGGCAGAAACCAGCACAACCAGTGGAAACCCTAACACAGAAACCTTGGCAGAAACCAGCACAATCAGAGACAGAATCGCACAAGCCAACAGAACATAGTATAATGACAGAAGAAGCTAGAGTTCAGAATGGTATGGAATTAATTCCAATATTTAGCCCTCCTTTTCCCTTTCATCTTCACTATCGCTCCCTTTTTTTTTTTACTTTCCTTTTCTGCTCTCACCTTAACACACCCTTCTGCCTCAACCCTTTCCTACTCCCTCCCTTCTGCCAAATAATCATGAGTCTTCTTCGTGCTCTGTTGCACATAAGGCCTTTTCTGCCAAATGACCTCATCTTTCAATTCTTCCCCCAAGCTCCTCTCTGAGTCTTGGTCTCTTTTACCCCCTCCCCCTTTCCTTTTGCCGTCTTTTTTCTCCTTCCTCTCCAACCCTTAGCCCTCTTTTCCCTCCCTTTCTTCCCTTCAGCTCATAGTCCTTTGGACCTACCCTTGGTTCCTTCGACCTGTTTTTAATCCCTTTCTCTTTTACCTCCCCAGTCTTCCAATTCCTTTTTCTTACCCATAACACCCAAAGTTCAAACCTCAATGGTGATATGTGTACAAGAGCTCTTATCACTTTTCTTTTTTTTCTTGTGCTTAGGACAAAAACAGCGACAAGACGAGAGTCCCTTGATTGAAGTGCCGATCCAGAGCAAGAATATCTCTGATGTGGTTGTCATTGAAACACACAGGCTAAAGATCATTGAGAACAAGGCAGTTCTTCCATTAGCAGTATTCCTCGTGATTGCAATTTTACTTCTGTTTGTTGTGGCGCTTCGTCTGAGAATTGTCAAGAGCAGGTTAAAAAGGCGACCATTTGCAACAGATGATGCAGATTATCTAATCAATGGCATGTACTTGTAACAAGCTGCTAATGGAGATCAAGCGATAAATAATTTTAATATTGTCATTCTTCTGTGAAAACACCATGTTTTCATGTGGATAATTTGCCTACATGATAGACCCTCTGAGGACCAAGTTGCAATATTATCATTTTTTTAGGTGGCCTAACACGGTTTTGTTCAAGTTGAGTGGCCTTTATTGCTGATGTCCACAGAGATCTCGAAATATAGGTTGTGTCAAAAGCAATAATTTAAAAAAATTATTATTTTTACAATTGCAGCGTTCTGTTAGGTATTTTTCATTTTCAAAAAAGTACACTTGAATTTGCAGTCTCTCAAAGGATTTTGAAAATTTACAGGGTTAGTTTCTCCAAAATCTTCTATTTCTGACCTGGTGTAATACATAATGCACCTTTCAGAAGGTAATTTTCTGTAAATAATAAAGCTACATTGCCATGGAAATGGCTAGCACTTCACTCAAAATGCCAAAAAATACACTCTTTCATGTTAACACTTACAATTTGCAAAACACAGTCTTATATGAGCAAATACTGTAGCTAAGCAATGGAGGTATAAAACAGTGTTAGGCCACCTTAGTTTTTTTTTTTTGTTTTTGTTTTTTTTTCTCACACAACTTGAAACATCGAAAATGCTTTAAGGTGCTTAATTTAAGGGCATGGTTTAAATTTGTAAGACACAGCATTGAAGCTCATGGTAAGTATCAATTCCAACAGTTTGTCACATATTTGTTGACTTTTTTTTTTTTTGCCCAGTGGATTCAAGTTAGAAATAAGCAAAAGCAGAATTTGGTTGCCCACTTCTGTTTGGCAAAGGATCGCTTTATTAATGTGAGGAAGATTGCATATGAGAACAGTTGAATTCCAATTTGAATGAAAGTAGAAATTAGCACCTTAGAAATAAAGGGTGACAATAATTTTGGAAATAGCCTATTTAAAACCTACAATTTCATGTACTGTTATAATGTACATGTTACCTGGCAACGAAATTTTTTATCTAACATGTTCATGAGAACTATTTAATATATTTGTGGTTGGAAAATGCACAATTGCACTCGTTCTAGATTAACCCTCTAACTCCCAGAAATGATCAACACGTAATGAGAATACTCATACCTATCAGGGAGTTATCTTGATCTAACACCAAATTCTTGTAACCAATTCACAAGGAAATGTGTAGCAGCTAGATGGGAGAAGTAACAATCAGATCTTAAGAGTTAGAGGGTTTATTGTCACGCAAGACATGATTTGAAAAAGGAAGTAATTTTTTTGCCAAAGATCTCAAATGCAGCACAGTGAATGCTTATACTTTTAAAAAGCTGTGGTCTAAACTTAATATTTAGTTGGTACAATAAGACTATTATTAGTTGTATATAATCTTGATGTTAGGAAGTAGGATGTAATAATTTTCAGAAACAATTTTAAGGGTGTTGTATTGTAATAATTTGCCAAGAACTTAAAGTTCAGCCAGCATTTTTTTGGCAAGTATTTAGCTTAGAAGGAATAATTTACAGTTATGTATTGATGACAGTGTAAGAGGTTGATTCAACTATTGGAGGCCTTTGTAAGATAATAAACACAATATGAACGTCAAGAAATGTAGAGAAATTTGGAAAAAAAAAACCTATTTGAGAAGGTTCCAGCCAGAAGGACAAAATTCTGATAATTACATTTTGCAATCTTTTAGTGTAACAATTTAGTTATTTGTTACCTGACAAAAAAATTAAGCTGGATTTAATTTAAGATTGTTGATCATTCAAGGGGAAATAGCTGAGTAGATTCAATATGGGAATTGAATAAGTATCAAATTTATTTTCTTAGTAAAATCTGATGTCAGATATTGTCAACTATTGTATGATATAAAACATGTACTTTACCTTTCTTTGACTGCATATCAGTTGAAACAAACGTGTAGTATCTGGATTTGCAATGCAGTGAATTAATTAAAAATTCACGTGAGAAGAGAAACAGTTGTAGTATACTGCTTTCATTTGTCTGTATCTGGATTTACAATGTAGCAAATAAATTAAAAATTCCTGTGAGAATTGAGTCTTGTCTTGCTATGAAAATCAGTGAGCTAGAAATGCAATCCTATTATTTGATAAATTCCACAAATTGCTTAGATGTACCACTCATACTCAATACTACAGAGATAAAAATGGATTCCATGGGTAGAGCAATGTCTGGTGGTGCTCCAATTTTTACAGTGCCTGTTTGCCAAGCCTTTGTACAGGAGTGAGGCTAAGGGTGACCTTGTTATGACACAGATGTAGCTGCTTTTCAAGTGTAAATGTCTTTATCATGCTAGTTAGATACTGGTGTTTAACACAGCAAGGTCACCTTCAGCCTTGCTACAAATCAGAGGCTTGGCAACTAAGTACACCTGTGAAATGGTCTATTCTTTACCCATGATGCTTCACTTAAATTGAACACTTATCAACACTCTCAAAAACAGATTAAGACCAGTTCAGCTAAGAATTCATGGAGAAAAGAAATTACAGCACCAACAAGGAGTGTTGGTTAGTCAGTGAAAAGCGGATCAGAGTGGTTGTAGTACAAATGTAGTGTCCATTCCACAACTTGGTTATTTCCATCAGCAAAATGCAGGTGCAATTTAATTTATCTATTTCCAGTGTATCAGAGCAAAGATTTCCACCTGTTGATTTGGTTAATTATTCCAGCCTGAACAATCAATAAATATTAAAAAAAAATTGAATGAAGTTGTGTCTATGGATATGATTAATGCCTCAGCCCAGGGTAGTCATGTTAAAATAAGACGACTTGGGGATACGAGTTTTTATTTCAAGGGTGACCATGACACTTTCGCCCGCCAAGATCTCATAAGTGATTCTCCTCACTCTCTGCTATACAATTCTCAAGATGTTAGTTTGGAGAAGTTGGTATTGGATCAACTAAATCTGCTTATTGATATTTTTCTCTATTCTCGTCACTTGTCTGCTTGGAATTACATTGATATTTTAAGGAGAAATTCTGTATTGGTCACTCAAGTAAGTCAAATGGTTAATAGAGGTGAAAACTACTGTAACTGTGATCAAGGGGGAATGATTTTGGGACTGAAGAAGGGCAGCTTTGTACAGGATGACCCTTAGATACATTGCCACAGATTCAACTGTATCTCTTTGAGAGCTCAAGGTTTTTTCTGGACAATATTACAAAAATTTATGTCTTCCTTCAAGTTCCATGAACAATTACACTGTCAAGATAATTAAATTTTCTTGTAGTGAATAAAGACTTTTTATGTGCTACCAGTTACAAGGAAGAGTCCCATGAATCAAGAAAAGGATTCATTAGGAGATAATAATAATAATAATATCAATAATAATAATAATAATAATTATCCTTTAATCCACTCTTTGCAGTTGAAACTATGTACAAACTGAATTATCAAGCGGTATCATTTACAAAACTGTTAAATCTAATTAAAGTATAGTAATGTACAGTCTATGTAATAATTAATCTAAAAATCTAAAAGTTATGAAGTTATGAAGTCATTAGCTCTCTTGGTTCTTGGTTCTTGCCTTCTGGCGAACGGACTTGGAGCTTTGGAAATCATCACTATTGCTGATCAACTTGACAAGGTGATTCCATATATTTCACTCAGCTCTTGAAGTCTTCTCAAATCATTTCTTTTTTCTTCTTCGCTTTCTTTGTCAAAAGTTTCTTTTCCAGAGATTACATCCTCCAGTCTTTTGATGAGACTAGATGCTGCCTTTTTTTCTACCTACCCAAAAAACTTAAGAGAAAGATCAAATCTGTTTGTTCTAGAAAGTCCTGTTAGAATACTTAAAATAGCATGGGAGTCCTTTTCATCCAGACAATTGTCAAGAATCAGGAGAAATTCTCCTAGATGACCCATACTTATCTCTGCCTTGAAAATTGTACTAAGTTCATCACCTCCAAGTTTTAACAGAAGTTGGTATTTTTCCTCCTCTGTTTTGCAGTGACGTTTCCAAATTTTGGTAAATTCATGCGCAGTTTTAGGATTTTGTGATGAAGAAGACAAAGTAGAACTTTGTGTTGCTGGTGTTGTTGCTACTGTCTGTGATTTACCTTGAGCGTGTGGATTCCAGGGCTGTTTGCGTGCATTTTCACCTGTAGAGATGTCATTTATTGCAATTTTCAGTAACTAGGTCATCTCACTCCACTTACACAATCCCATAAAAAACCATAGTAAAAGCTGACATGTGCAGGGCTGGAGGGGTTGATGTGAGCCAGAAATGAGAAAAAAAAAGTGGCTTTTGTCAAGGAATTGGGAGCTTCTTGTTCTGCCTTGGAAAAATAATGGAATTTAAGTTATAATTCCAGAATTCATTTTTGTGCTTACAAGTGTGGCTGTGTGCTTTTTTATCATGTCCTACTTAGCTTGAAATTTTCAACACTTAGTGGTCCTACGATAAAATGTCTATTGACCGCGTTTGGTTGGGCCAAACAGGAAAATATTTGGCCCTCAATCATGAGGCAAAAAACAAATGCAGCGAGGTCTGCACATCATGACCTTGAGCCACATATTTTCTCATCCAGCCCTTCCACTCAATCAATAACTACACATTACATCCTTTACAATTGTTAGTAAAGAGTGAAGCAACTACAAAGAGAAATTTATATCAAACAAGTCTGATCATGTGGCACATGGCTTATGGCTCAAGTTTATTTCAACTTCCGTTACACTAGTGCACCCTGCCAATGGTTTACCCCAGGATGGGGGGGGTTGGCTATCTATGCTGTCCAGGGGGGGCTATCCTGTTTGATAGTCACCTACTTTCTTAGTGTCAGGAATAGGCCATTTTACAGTTGTGTACTTAGTTGCCAAGCCTTTGTTTCAAAGTGAGGCTAAAGATGACCTTGTTGTGATAGAGACCTGTATCTAGTTAACATGATAACAAAGTGATTTACATTTGAAAGGCAGCAAGGTTTGTATCATAACAAGGTCATCCCTAGCCTCACTCCCGTTCAAAGGCTTGGCAACCAAGCACACAACTGTAAAATGGACTCTTGCACCTGGTCACCATTTTGGCAGTTGAGGTGAAGTTGTAAATGTGAGTCATTTGCCATTTTAGAATTCACCTCGCCAAATTTGTTTTTCGAAATTTGTTTACAACATAATTCATCCCCAAGAGTAGGAAAAAGGAGAGAAAAAATTGGAAAATGATGTGCGAAAAGAAAGATAGGGCTTTTTCCCATAACTTCTTCTTATCCAGTCTTAAGGGATATACTTAACTTAGCCTAACCAATCCTTCCTTCACAAACCTGTGATATCTTTTCTTTCCAGAGGTTTCAAATGAGCTGCGCACACGATGTCTCGAAACTCCTCATAGCTACCAACTCTCTGGTTCACAGCTCGAAATTTCGCGTCGTTTTCTCGCAGATATTTTTCGTCGGCTTCTACAGCTAAAGCAAGCTCTTTTTCAAGTTTTTGGAAGTCGATTCCTTCGTCGTCGTTCATAATTTTACACCGAAAAAAAAAAAATTGAGAACAGCGATCAACAAGAATGCAGTTAACCTGACGTTTCCTTCGCTGCTTCGTTACCAACCAGAATTTTAGAGCGGAGACTGGGGCTCGAATTTGTTCCAGGTTCGCGCGGGCATTGATTAGGGCTACTCCAGGAAATTTACCCTCTAATATTTACGCAACCAAATCCGAAGGCGGTTTGGTAGCCGCCTTCATCCCCAAAGCGAGCTTGTTTCCTTTGCTCAAAGCTTAAAACTTTGTCGAGGATGAGGAAACGCTCTTCTGTAACGCTAATATAAATGATGGCCTGCTCGCAAGCTAGGAATTCTACCGCCAAATTTTAATTTAATCTCGGCAGTGTTAGCTCCATTCTCGGTGTCGGCTTTTGGCGAACTTCGGACTTTTACCATTCGTCACCCCTAAAGCTTATTTTAATCTATTTCGTGCGATCGAATGATTTAAGAGTCGGTGTCAGTTCTAGTCAACCACTCCCTTACGACAACTGAACAAAAGGTTGACATTATATTAAGAAAGATTTCTGAATACTCGACCTTTGTGATATTGGAGCAGGGTCCAATTTGATTCCCTTTGCTCGAGGAGTTTTAGATAATCAATTAATTGAAGTGTTCTGCACGTCTTTAACATTAAGTAAACAGTTTACCCCACCAGGAGAGTCAATGTTTGATCAGTGAGTAAACAAAACCCAACATTATGCTGCCAAATAATTACAAAGACATTGGCAATTCTATAGTCATTTGATTCTTAATGGGGTTTCGAAAAACTCATTAAGCTTATCCAACTATAAAATGCCTTGTATTCGCGAAGTAACAAGCTTAAAATTTATCATGCAGAAGAAAGTCTTCCATCTCGCTCTATTTGAAGTCAGGAATTTTCGATTGCACCGAGCGTGAAAGCTCGGTCTAATAATAATGATAAAAAAAAACTTTACAACATTTTTGAAGGGTAACACCCTCTAATTAAAAGGACAATGAACAATCTATATCATTGGACAGCTAAGGATTGACAATTGTTTCGTAAAATCCCCTGAATTTCTATTCTGAGGTTGTTTTCCCAGGTTTGGATTTTAAGTTCTGCATGCCGACAACTGAGCCAAGAACTTTGCTAGACAAGACCGAAAGCTCATGTCGAAACTATGTCAGTTCTACGAAGTAACCTCAAGTCAGTTGGACGCTAGTTTCATTTGTTGATTTTCACCGGTCTTCAGCCTAGAAATTGTCATCAGAAACTGGGAAGAACTAAGTCACAGAGCTCTCTTCAAAGTACGAGAAATACAGAATGGCCTCGGATAAAATCAGAGTCAAAAGACTCTATGCGATTCATTCAAGAAGTTTGAGTGAAAACGAAAATTCTTTATCAGCAACATCTGAATTCCTCCGCGTTAGAGAGAGAAGTGGTAGTGAAACGCCCACAGTCTCCCTGGTTCCAATCAAAAAGGACAAAAACGATGGAAAGGAAGGCATTGAAAAGATGGCGAGGAAGGAAAATGACAGCTTGTTTTCAAGACTCAAGTTGCGGTCGAGACGCGTTTTCAGTGGTGACAAAAACGAAGAGGACGCTCGAAACACGCCTTGTTTGAAGGAGGACTGCACAATGAAAAGGTCTCGAAGTGGTAGTGATTCCATGATGTTTTCTGTTATAAAGTTCAGGAAAAATCTTACATTTTTCAACTCGCAGGGTTACCCAATCAATACACCTTCGTCTGAGCCCCTTCAAAGAAAGCATTTTATTGAAGTAGCAACTAGCGACAAAGACATCGATGTCACCAAACAAGAAAAGCCTCGACATCGTGCCGTCTCGTTTTCAAGTCAGTCGCTTTTACAGTCAGCAATAGCTCGTGATGACGTACTAGAGCTAAGCAGCCTAATCGACAATAAGGGGGACCTGGACCTGAATGAACCGGACGATCTGGGCATAACCATGATGCACCGTGCAGCTATCGATGGAAGCTACCGCTGTCTGAATTTTCTTCTCTCTCGAGGCGCAGATGTGAATGTCAATGATTTTCAAGGCTGGACTCCACTTCACGATTCTGTCTTCCATGGGCATATCCGCTGTGCAGTGATTCTTCTCATCTCAGGCGCGAACGTAGAGGCGGAGACGAAAGATTTTCTGAAGCCCATAGAAATGGCACAGGACGAGGAAATGATTTTAGTGGTTGGTAGAGCTATGGCCTTAAACAGAGTTGGACAAAATCTAAATTACGACAAAGAAACGCTGGTGTGAATAAGATGAAAAGTTTATTTCACAAAATGAAACACAATATCAGATGACCATCATGCTTGCGCGCAGCGAAATTTCTTCCTTAAGTTACCACGTGACTCCACTTTCAAGCTCTGAACTCTGCCCAGCCATGACTACGCTGGAAAATGTAAAAAAAACTTTCAACTCCCAGAGAGCCCTTAATTTTTCCCTAACGATATAAACGGCAGAATAAACAAACTTTTCAGATAGAGGTTATTGTCGGAATTTAACACCACTCCTAGAACACATTTTGCTCGTGTCGCAAAACCAAAATTAAAAAAAAAAATTACGACAAACCAAAATCCTGTGCAATCACAACAACTGATCAAAAATAAAGGAAAACGTATGATGCATGATCCTCGCAGTAGGAGCGCTATTTATGCAATAACGAAAATCAGACCTGAAAAAAATCAGGCCTACATGGGATTCGAACCACTGACCTCTGCGATACTAGTGCAGCGCTCTACCAATTGAGCTAACAAGCCAACTGGGAGCAGGCCGTTAAGTTGATTCGTAATAAACCCGTGATGATAAATCAGATACAATGTAGATATGAAGTTCATATATTTTGAACTGCGGTATTAGATACGTATGATGCATGATCCTCGCAGTAGAGAGCGCTATTTATGCAATAGCGAAAATCAGA